TCCTGAGTCCCCCTCCACTAGGACGTGCTGTGAGCTTAACTCTGCTAAGCCCTCGCTGTGAAATGGTGACATCCATGTCAGTTACTTCAGCGCTGGATGTTGCCTCCTGTCTCCGTTGTATTAGATGATTTAGGACTTCCTGGGAGAGGAAATCAGATGAACAAAGTCAGGGATGTGTCAGCAGCAGGCAATGTGTGTGGGGGAAGCCACGAAGCTGTCAGCAGCCTAACATGGGCACAATCTAGCATTTCTGGTTGAAAACCGTGGGCTCGACACGCCAGGGGCTGGCTGACGTCTTGGGCATACCACTGCTCTTTCTAAAGCGCCTCCGTCTCAGCATGCCTTGGCGGGTGTCCTGACCAGCTGAGGGATTGTTGCTTTCCGATCCAGCGGTGATTACTTCTGAAAGATGGGGTCATGGCAACAGCTATCATTTCTGAGCATATGCCACCTCTGTGCAAAGCAGTTTTCCACACTTCGGATCCTCTCAGCGTTCCTGTGAGGTGAGCTGGCATCCCAGTGGCCTTGCCCTTGTTCTAGCCCTGCTGAGCGCTATGATTGCTTTCATGAACAGGCAGAGAGACTGAGAATCAGAGAGGTGAAGTGACTTCCCCCAAGTCACACAGCCCGTCAACGGGTGAGCCCTGTCTGTCTGACACCTAGGCTTGTTTCTCCTAAACTCAGTTGATATGGATTTTCTTTAGATTTGGGGGATAGGGGGTGGTCTCTTTCCTGCGATATAGGAAACCTGATTGATTTATCAGTAAGTTATGAAGAGGTTGAACATTCTGTGATAACATTCCCATCCACCGGCTCTCAAATACATTCGGGAGCCAGATGCCTGTGACAACTGAGGAGTTTGAGAATTGTGCACGGGAACAGAAGCCATATCAAAACAAAGCTGTATGTTTGTTCCGATGTGAGAATGCCACAGCTAACAGGTAGGTGAGGCCACTTGGCTTCTAACGTTTAGGGAAAAAAGAAAAGAAAAGAAGTAAATTGTCATCCTTGGCATTTCCCCAATGACATTTGCATTTTTATTTCTATTAGAAGTCCATTTTCGCAGAGAAATGCAGCCTTAGTCACTTGAAGCTGCGCTTCCCTAGGAAACAATTGTGAATGTAATAAGTGAGAAGAATAGAAAATGCCAGCAGGAAAGAATGGAGCCACCTGGGGTCAGATTCATCATGTAGGCTGATTTGGTTTCCTTCTGACATTCGTGCTCAGGAAGGAAAACTTGGAAAATTTCTAAATTTAGGGTGTTTACGATTGGCAAAGAGTGAGGGGCGGGGGAGAAAGAATTACATTGCAACCCCCCTGGGTAGGCATCAAGCTCGGATTTCCCCAACTTTGAAGCACCGTTTAACATGTTCCAGTCGCCTCAGAGTTACCAGAATCCCTCTTTTGCGTGGGGTGTAAGGTTGCCGGGGGGAGGGGGGGGGGGAAGATACAAGAAGGTCATGATGGCTTTCGAATTATGCATAATAAAAGCGCATTTGGAGACTTGATTCTAAATGTTACACTTAAATTTGAGCAATTCAATTGCCCGTTGACTAGGAATGAAATCCCACCGGTCTCAGCAGTTATTGCTTCCAACCACTGTGTGTGAAATTGAAATCTTAAGATACCATTTCAAATATTCGCTTTCTCTAAGGAAGTTCTCCCCAAAGAGCTGTGAAAGATAAGACACTGACCCAAAGTCACAGGCAGTAATCACTCTTTTCTTTACGCCCTCGGGTCAAAACAGGGTTATTCAAAGGAAATTTTATGCCCCAAAGTTGGTTGTTTGGAGGTTACCTCCTGGAACCCAAGCATATATTTATTTTAACAACTAACTTGAGCCCCATGCAAAACAGCAAGGAGGTCAGCAACTTATCAGATTTAATAAGAGCAAGCAGTTCTAAGCATCTCACCTTGTCACCAAGGAAGTGAACATTAACATGGAAAATGTTTATGTTTTGTTGAGTAGCAATCAGAGGTAAGGTTAAAGGGACCCTGATCTTTAATCTTTAATTTTTTTAATCTTTAATTTCTTTATTGTTTAAGGTATTACATATGTGTCCTCAGCTCTCCATTAACCCCCCAGCCCCCAGCCCCCACTCATGCGCTCACCCTCCTTTTGTCTGTGTCCATTGGTTCAGCTTAAATGCATGCACACAAGTCCTTTGGTTGATTTCTTCCCTTACCCTCATCCTCCCCTACCTTCCCTCTGAGGTTTGACGGTCTGATTGCTGCTTCTCTGTCTCTGGATCTGTTTTTGTTTGTCAGTTTATGTTGTTCATTATCTGTTTGCTTTTTAAAAATAGAAAACTGTTTTTAATTTGGTTGGGAAATTCCTGTCTTCGAATTTAATTTCAAGCTTTAGTTACGTATTTATTTTTGACATATAATTGACATACATTATGTTAGTTTTAGGTGTACAACACGATGATTCTATGTTTGTAGATATTGTGAAATGGCCACTACAATAAGTCTAGGTAATGTCATTATATGTAGTTACAATTTTTTTTCTTATGATGAGGACTTTTAGGATCTACTCTCTTAGCAATGTTCAAACACACAGTATTAACTATAGTCACTATGCTGTACAATACATACCCAGGACTTACTTATTTTATAGCTGGGAGTTGATACATTTTGACTCCTTTAGCCCACTTCGCTCACACACACCAACACCACCCACTGGCAACCACAAGTCTGTTCTTTATATCTGTGAGTTAGGTTTGTTTGTTTTTAAGATTCCACATACTATTGTAGTATAAGTGATATCATACAGTATTTATCTTCCTCTGTCTGACTTATTTCACTTAGCATAAGGCTCAAGTTCTATCCATGTTGTAACAAATGGCAGGATTTCCTGCTTTTTTATGGCTAACTAATATATAACACTAGAGGCACAGTGCACGGAATCCATTCACTGGGGGGTGAGGGTAAAGGGGAACTCCACAGCCTGGATTTCGAGAGGTCGCAGGCCAGGATGCAGGCGGGTGGCCAGCTGGGGAGGGACCAGGAGAGGGCTCCAGGGCGGTTCTGGCCTGTCTGGTTCAGTCCTGATCAGCCAGACCCCCAGCAGCAAGCTAACCTACCGATCAGAGCATCTGCCCCCTGGTGGTCACATCAGTCAAATCAAAGCAGTTGAGTGGCTTTAGCATATCATTAGCATATTACACTTTGATTGGTTGAATGGCCAACTGGACGACCGAACACTTAGCATACGAGGCTTTTATTATATAGGATTTTCTTTATCCATTCACCTAGTGGTGAGCATTTAGATTGTTTCCATATCTTGGCTATTGTAAATAAGGCACCATATTCATTGGTGTGCATATGTCTTTTGGACTTGCTGTTTCTGTTTTCTTCAGATAAATACCCAGAAGTGGAATTGCTGGATTCAAGCTCTTGTTAAATTCTCCCGATGATGTCTTGCTCTCACATAGCAGCTGCCAGTTATGAGCCCTTCATATCTGCCAAGTGTGTTTAATCGCATTTAATCGCATGAGTTATGCGCCACACTTAGCATGCATTCACTCACTTAGTCCTCACAACTGAAGCAATAGGTCTGGCACGCCTGTTTTATAGATGAGGATCCCGAGAGTTTCCATTTCTGCTGTGAGCCCAGGTTCACCGACTCCGGCAGTCTGACTCCAGAGCCACGGCCCAATACTGGCTCCTCAGACTGCAGACCTTTCCTAGGCCACGCTGGCTGTGAAGTAAGAGCCTAAATCAAACCCCAGGCAGTCCAATTCCCAAGTCCCGGCATTTTACCATCACACTGACATACAGGTTGTAAGGATGTAAACTGCCAATCACAACCTATATGTTCATTTTCATTTCTGATCGGAGAGTGGTAGACTACATGGTTATCACAGAATTAATTAATTAATTAATTAATTAATTAATTTTAAATATATTTTATTGATTTTATACAGAGAGGAAGAGAGAGGGATAGAGAATTAGAAACATCGATGAGAGAGAATCATCGATCAGCTGCCTCTTGCACACCCCCTACTGGAGATGTGCCTGCAACCAAGGTACATGCCCTTGACTGGAATCGAACCTGGGACCCTTCAGTCCCCAAGCCAACGCTCTATCCACTGAGCCAAACCGGTCTCGGCAGTTATCACAGAATTTAGGCTTATCTAAAAAAAAAAAAATCCCAGGGGTTTTCCTTTTTAATGAATACAAGGATCTAAAGAAAGATTTAAATAATAATAATAATAATAATAATAATAATAATAAAAAACACCACAAGAGTCTGATCAGGAGAATGTCTTTTTACATATGAAGGCTTGACTTGGACCCAAAGCTGTTCTTACGGCCTCCTTCCCACACTCACATACTGGGACGAATTTTAATTGTGCCCATTAGGGACCCATGCTTCCGACATGCACACAATAGAGAATTCTGGCTTTTCTTGTAAAAAGTCCATGAGGATTTCCCTGAAGAGGGAAAACGAAGTGTCCAGGGACTCACTTCTGACGTTGGTCACAACATTTCAAGGCCAACTCATCCAGGCCCTGCACTGCCATCTGTGAAATGGGAGTAAAATGACTACCCCTATAATCCACTAAAAAAACACCCTCCACACTCTGAAAGTACTGGGCAGCTTCCTCTTTACAAGGCTGGTGACTGGCACCGTCACCAACAGGCCTTTAACAATAATTTCTGAATGTGGTCCTTTTGAAGGCACTCTGCCATGGCCCACGGGACCCCAAGCTTTTTCTATACCGAAGGGCAGACGATCAGCCGCCTCCTCTCCCCTTCTGTATCTCCTCCCTCTTCCTAGAATTTGCCCTTGAGGTTGGAGGGGAAAGCAGAACTCCAAAATCAAGTCTGGCTTTTTTCCTCCTCCCCTGACCCAGGGCAACGTGGTCTCTTGATCCTCCCTTGCTCTCCATCCTCAGAAAAGCACTTGCTCTCGTGCAGCGTGTGGCTGGCATTGTACAGGGGGCCAGGTTAGCCGCAGGAGTCTGCTGTTTGAAAGATGCTGAGGGAGGGAATTCGGCCGCCAACAGATGGGGAGAGGAGAGGAGCCTAGACCCGCGTGGTCCCTCCCAACCACCCTCCCTGCGGGACTAGCAGCCCTGGCAGCGCGCAGGCAGGCAAACCCGGCCCGCGCAGCCCCGCTCGCACAGCTCCGGCCGCCCGTCTGCCGAGCGGACGCAGCCACCCGCCCGCAACCACGGACCTGGGACCTGAGACCTCGAACCCCGGACGCGCGCGGCAGCCACTCGGGACGCTTGCATTGCTTGTAGGTGCTTATTTCACACTCTTGCCTTTTTTTTCTTCCTTCCTGAGCAGCCGGCTGGGTTACTTTTAGCTTTCGTTCACCAAAAGGGAAGCGAAGCGGGGAAGCCGCCCTGAGGATGATCAGAGGCCACCCGGCCGCCTCTCCCAGGAGAGAGGTTCCCTGCCTCCGACGCCGGCCCCTTTAAGAAGCCCAGTCTGCGCTGCCGCTGCCGCTGCCGCTGCTGTTTGTATGGCAAATCCCCAGGAGCCCCATTAAAAAAAAAAAAAAAAAAATGGGGGTGGGGGGTACCCGGGCAGCTGTCCCTTTAAATGTGATTTCCTTCTATTGTATTTGAATCGTGATCAGGAAAAGGAAATGAAACCAGAGACAGAGGGAAGCTGAGCGAAAATAGACCTTCCCGAGAGAGAAGGGGAGAGAAAAAGGGGGGAGCCCAGGGAGAGGGCCGCGATCCCCTCCCGCCCCCGGCCGCCGCCTCCTCCCCTCCCCTCCCCTCCTGCCCTCGGCGGCGAGCTGCGCGCCCCGGGAGGGAGGGAGGGAAGGTGCGCGGGGCTCCGGGCTCCGGGCGGCGCGCACCTCCCGCGGGCGGCGCGGAGGAGCCGGGCGGACCCGGCGGCGTTGGCGGCGGGACCGCGATGGAAGGTTAAGTCCTGAGCGGCGGCGGCGGCAGCTGCAGCCGCCGGTGGGGGGCCAGGCTGCGCGCCCCGGTCCCCGCTGGGCCGGCCGCGGCGCGCCGGCAGCCCGCTGACTCGCTCTCTCTCTCTGGCTTTGAAGGGAGCGCGGCGACCGGCCTTGAGCGCGGAGGGGCGAGCCCGCCGCCCGAGCGCCCCGGCCCGAAGCGGCGCAGGAGCGGCGGCGCCCGAGCACCCGACGGCGGGGTCCGCGTCCCGGCCGCCGCCGGCCAGCACCGAGCCGCCAAGGGGGCGCCCCCGCCGCCCGGCACGCCGCCTCCCTCCCCGATGTCCTCGGCCATCGAGAGGAAGAGCCTGGACCCTTCGGAGTAAGTGCGGCGCCCCTGGCACCGGGGAGCGCGGCGTCCTGTCCGGGAGGGAGGCGGGGGGCCCGGGCGGCGGGCGCGGAGGTCGTGCCCTTGGCCCCTCCGCCTCGCGGGGGGCTCCCCTTGCCCGCGGTGACCCCGGGGGCGCTGGGGAGGAGGCTGGGCGGCTGGGAGGGACAGGGGATCGCTCCTCTCTCCCCGGGAGGCTCCCCAAAAGCCACCGCCGGCCGGAAAGTTTGCACCGGAGCGGGCACCGGGGAGGCGCGCAGGTGCAGTCCCGGGAGCGTGGAGGGCTCGGTCCTGCGCCGTCGCCCCCCTCTCGCTCCCACTCAGTTCCCTTTCTCTTTGTCCATTTGGAGAGGGGGACCTTCCAGTGGGGGCTTCCCCAGTGCCTGACAGCCCACGTCCCGGCCCCCTTCCCGGGCCGCAGGTAGAGAGAGCAGCCGCCCGCGGAGCCGGGGACCCGCCGGCGGGGAGGAGGAGGAGGCGTGAGCGTCCGCCTCGGAGCTCGCCCTGGCCTCCGGAGGGGAGGGGAGGCCTCCGATGGGGGCCTGGGGACCTCGAAAGTTAGTGTACACTTTGGGGATGGGTGAGATTTTCTGGGGATCGGAGCCTCACGGCTCTCCATCACAGCCTCCCCCGGGTTTGGGGTCCGGGAACTCGTGAGCATCCATCTGCCTTCTGAGCCCCTGGCTGGTTAGGGGTGTTACCTTGGCCCCAGCCCCGGTACCTGCAGCCCCGTTCCCCAGCGTCATTGAGGGGAGAGAGGGCTGCTGAGAACACCGCTTTCCCGTCAGCACAAGTGCCCTTTTAAGATTCATTAGCTGTCTGGTTTGGAGAATTTTTATTCCTTTGAAGTCCCCCATCTAATCCTTTGAAGGGATTTGTTACCCAGACCAAAGGAGCTGGGTAATGACTTGTCCATTTGGGCTTTTAAGAGCCACTTGTTTTGTTTTGTTTTCTTTCCCTTTTCCTGCTTTAAAAGAATGGTGCTTTCCTGATTGAAGTCTCCCCTTCTCTCCTTCTCACCCCTCCCCCATGTCAGCCTTCTGTGGTGTTTATATACCTGGGTTTTACCCTAGGTTACCAGCATAAAAGCTCAGCGTGTTCTCATAAAACACAGGAAGTGCCACGATCCAATGAGAATATAAACATCACTGTTCAATCCTGAAGGTTCAGGCACCATTTCTATACGGAGTAAGGTTTGTTCTAACAAAAACAAACAAACAAACAAACAAAAAACCTCAGCTTCCTTATATTCTCAGGAGAAAAATAACATTCCTTTTCTTACATAGGCAGACACTAGGTTTAAAGGGTGGTTGGCTCACTTGTTGTTGTTTTTTTTTTGTTGTTTTGTTTTTTTTGTACAAACCTAGAATTCCAACTTATGATAGCTCTGAGTTCTCAGAGGCTGGGCGAGACCATAGAAATACCATCAGAGTGCATTGGGTGAACTGCTGCTGAATGCTTGCTTTTCTATCCACCAAATGTAGCCGCTGATCCTTTTATTAGACGATAAATCTGGCGGTTTCAGTTCCCTGAAGGAAGTTTGCCCTTTTTGAAGTTTGTGGTTTTTCACTGAGATTAGGAAATTGAAACATTCTAACCTCATAACACAGCAGGCACCTCCTGAGGGATGCTCACTCCTGGGCCTCACCCTCTGCCCGATGAAGGTAGGTGCCAATGGAAGATGGACCAGTTTGTTAAGGAATTGCTGCAGCACATCCGCTCTCTCTCAGAAATTGTCAGGAAATTACCCCAGAAATCCTGGATCAGGTGCACTCAGGTGTAATATTCAGACAGGTTCTAGGGGATTATAAAACATTAATTTGAAGGTGAGGCCCACACAGTTATTGGATTGGAACACCCACCAAAGATAACATGGTATTGTCATTAATTATAGAAATATAGATAGAGCCGATATCTTTATCCTGGCCTTTCCTATCTCGGGCCCTCACAATAGCTGTTTTGCTTAATATCTCTACTGCAGACCACTATCCTACCAGCTCCACTGTGCACTTACTCAAAGCCAAGTTGGGTTGGTGTGACCAGCATCGCCAAATCACAGATAAAAACTTGCCTAGGCGTATGCAAATGAAACATTGAGACAGAAAGACAGCCGGAATTCATGAACACAAGTTTTCTCTACCGCAGTCGGGGCAGGGGGGGGGGGGGGGGGGGGCGGGCAGCATCTCCCATGAGTAACAAGAGCAGTTCATTTTAATTCCAACAGTTTTTGCACCACTAAGTGCACATTCTCCTCTTGCACAGCTGGCTGGCAGCATCAGCATCAAGGCATCCAGCGGTGTGGAGGGTCCCTTAGTGTTTCTGAAAGCCCCAAGTCAGACCGGGGGCTGTGGAGAGAGAAGAGAGGCAATTCGGAGTTGTTGCACATGACGAGGCTGGGGATATTGTTGTTGTTATTGTTTTCAGAAGGAAGAATGGAAAGCCTTATGTCTCACCCGTGGAAACAAAGAAAAGCCAGTCAGGCTTCGGTGAACTCAACACTCTTGTCAGGTCTTGAGTTTTTAGAAAACTGGCCCGGGTTTCACATGTCCTTGTCCTCAAAGGAAATCATCTAAAAAAAAAAAAAAAAAAAAAAGGAAATCATCTCATGAAGGATCTTTACACTCAGCTTACAAAGTGTGGGCTTGGTTGTGGTTTTACACCCAAAGAGTCACCGGGAGGTCTGTGCTTGACGGACAGAGCTCCCTGAAGCTGTCACGGGGTGTCACCAACACTGAGGGCCTGGGCCTCATAGTCCCTAAGTGTAACAGATGCTGAGCTCTGTGGGAACAGGCCAATCAAGACCCAAGGTCACCTGGTAGGATAGTGCCCATTAAGAGATACAGATTGATACCCTCAAGGTACCCAGGGGTACTTTCCCTTTGGGCATTTCCCAGTTGGAAGCAGGTCCATTTAAAACAAAACAAAACAAAACATAATACTTTAAATGTAGATTCGTGTTTGAGTCAGGTTCAAAGAGCACTTGTTAATTATTACAAATCAATAGGTATTGGGTCTTTCCTATGTCCCATTTGGTGCTGGAATCATTTCTTCTCTTTATTTTCCTGTGGTAAATAACGTCATCTATTTTAAAATGTAAACACAGAAGTATTCAGATTCGAGTTAAGCAAAGTCAGAAGCTGTATGACTTTTTAAAGAAAAATATATTTTATTGATTTTTTACAGAGAGGAAGAGAGAGGGATAAAGAGTTAGAAACATCCATGAGAGAGAATCATCGATCAGATGCCTCTTGCACACCCCCTACTGGGGATGTGCCGGCAACCAAGGTACATGCCCCTGACCAGAATCGAACCTGGGACCTTTCAGTCCGCAGGCCGATGCTCTATCCACTGAACCAAACCGGTTTCGGCTGTATGACTTTTTAATGAAAGAACACGTACCGCGAGCTCGCTGTTAACAACCACCTCAGTGGAGATTTCAGAGTCTAATTGCCTTCCACTCCCTTGAAAATAATTGTTGCCTTCTCCCCATTTTCTTTTCTAAATCAACTCTACCCAAATCAGTTTTGCCAGTTGTAAAGAGTTTGGAAGGTCTATTTGACGCCTTTGTACGTTTAACAACGGCCTTAACACCTGGGATTGTTCTCCAAGGATTCGTTAGGTTAGAAGGACTGGGATAAGGAATTTCTGCAACAAAATAAAATAAAATAATGAGACTTCCTGGTATGCCCTGAGGGAATTTGTATCTTGAAAAGAAAAAGTAAAAGGATTTTCGGTCACTTTCTTCCTCACCTCTGCTTTTGTGCGGTAGGGAAGGACTTGAGGTAGGCTGGCGGGTAGATTCCACAGGAAATTTGCAGGGTTTTAGCCTAGTCAGCTGTCCCAGCAGCAAGCAACTGTTCAGTCCAAGTGCCTCCTCTGGGGTTCAGTGCGCTTGGGTCCTGGTATGAGAGGAGGGAAAAGAAAGAGAAATGTAGAGAGAGGGAAGGAGAATAGGAGGGGAGAGTAGGTAAGAGAAGTGAGACTGGAGGTGCGAGAATGGTGCTGGGATGAGAGGGGGCTAGTACCACCTACAGGTGCCTTGGATGCCTCTTGGTGCCCTGCATTTACTTCTATATATTATTTTTTTAATTGATTTCAGAGAGGAAGAGAGAGAGAGAGGGGGAAGAGAGAGAGAGAGAGAGAGAGAGAGAGAGAGAGAGAGAGAGAGAGAGAGACATCAATGAGAGAATCATGATCGGCTACCTCTAGCACACCCCACACTGGGGATTGAGCCCACAACCTGGACATGTGCCTGACCAGGAATGGACTTGTGATCCCTGGTTCATAGGTTGACGTTCAGCCACTGAGCCATGCTGGCTGGGCTGCATTTACTTCTTAAAGAGTCTAGGACAGTGGTCGACAAGCTCATTAGTCAACAGAGCCAAATACCAACAGTACAACGATTGAAATTTCTTTTGAGAGCCAAATTTTTTAAACTTGAACTTCTTCTAATGCCACTTCTTCACCCAGGCCATATTTTGTGGAAGAGCCACACTTAAGGGGCCACAGAGCCGCATGTGGCTTCCGAGCTGCAGTTTGCCGACCACGGCTCTAGGATGTAAGGTCGAGCTCTCTCCCTGTCCTAACCCAGGGCTGGCCGGCCTCTGCAGTCCAGCCTGAGGGTAGGTTGTCCTGTCCTTTCTCTATGTCACCGACAGACAATTGAGTGCGGCTTCCTGTTTGTCGGCCCAGGGTGATTCCTGACCTTGGGTGCTTGTCCCACCACAGTGGGTTCGTCCGTCCCTAACGCTCGGCCTTCTTTCTAGGGAGCCCGTGGATGAGGTGCTGCAGATCCCCCCGTCCCTGCTGACATGTGGAGGCTGCCAGCAGAACATCGGGGACCGCTACTTCCTGAAGGCCATCGACCAGTACTGGCATGAGGACTGCCTCAGCTGTGACCTCTGCGGCTGCCGGCTGGGCGAGGTGGGCCGGCGCCTCTACTACAAGCTGGGCCGCAAGCTCTGCCGGAGGGACTATCTCAGGTACCCCCTCGCCATCCTCGGGGCCCTCAGGGGGCAGGGACTGTCTCAGGAACCCCCTCGCACCCTCCGGGCCCTCAAGAGGGAGGCCGGGTGTCCACAGACATGGAGTCTGAGTCCACCTGCGGGGCTCCTGCCAGAATGAGCTCAGGCTGCAGAGGCTGTCTCCGCGGCCCCATGCAGAGAAGCAGTTGGCATTTCTTCCTGTTTGAGAAGCAGGTTTTCATCCATTCCTGGCGGGGAGAGGAGGGTAAAATACAAATAGTTTAAAGGTGCCGCCGAAACCGGTTTGGCTCAGTGGTAGAGCGTCGGTCTGCGGACTGATAGGTCCCAGGTTCGATTCCAGTCAAGGGCATGTACATTGGTTGCGGGCACATCCCCGGTAGAGGGTGTGCAAGAGGCAGCTGGTTGATGTTTCTCTCTCATTGACGTTTCTAGCTCTCTATCTCTCTCCCTTCCTCCTCTCTGTAAAATATCAATAAAATATATTTTTAAACATAGTTTAAAGGTAAGAGAATGATAAACACAAATTCAGATTACTTTGTACGTGTGAGGGTGGGCTCTTAGGAGCTCATGGAATGCTTCAAAGCAAACCTATCTGTTATAACTATTCCTTTGTATGACTCCAATAGGATGGAAGGAGAAACTTAAAAACAGAAAGCATGTTCCCACTATGGTGCTCCCAAGAATTTGTCTCCATAGGAAGGCCCTGAAGTCAGTTGTAGGTTTGAGCCCTGGCACCACTGCTTTCCTTATCTGTAAAATGGGGACAATATAATACCTACTTCCAAGGAGGAGGTCAGGGTTAGATGGGGTAATACATGTAAGGTGCCCGATTGGTGCACAAATATCAAATAGATGTTCGCTGCTCTTGTAACTGACCCTCCTGACTTCTCCTGCGGCCCTAGCTGGTCTGGTTCAGTGGATAGAGCGTTGGCCCTACGGACTGAAGGGTCCCTGGTTCGATTTCAGTCAAGGGCACATGCCCGGGTTGTGGTCTTGATCCCCAGTAGGGGGCGTGCAGGAGGTAGCCAATCAATGATTCCCTCTCATCATTGATGTTTCTATATCTCTCTCTCCCTCACCCTTCCTCTCTGAAATCAATAAAAAAATACATATATAAAAAAATAGACATTATTATTTAAAAAAAAAAAAAAGACCTCTGTCTAAAGAACAAAGAGATGGGAGAATGGAGGGGCAAATAGGACCTCCACAACACTCAGACAACCACTGAGGACCTCTCTAAGGCTCAAGGTCATATATACTTTTGGCCATTTGAGTCTTCCAGCACTCAATGAGTGCCTTTGCCTGGAATGTTCTAGAATTTCCAGTTTCACATTGGCTGCTGTGGAGGTAACTCTGAGCCCTCTATTGTCAGATCTGCTCAGCTGTGTAGCTGTCAGTTTTCTGCCATCTTCCTATGGCAGGGGGTCTGTGGAGCATGCAGCCCTAATACACGAGGGCCACCCAACCCTGGAAGCTTGTTTAGACTCCAATGCCCTTGGCTGCCAGGCCAGGGCCCCCCCCCCCCCAACCCACCCTGCCGAGCATTTTACATTAAAAAAAAAAAAATTGCAGGCAATTCCACAGTGAAGAAAGCTTATCTGCTTACCGAGAGACTGATAGAATAAGCTTCCCCTCATCCCCCCTAAATCCCCTGATAAAGTCCTTGCAAATTTGGTGATTCAGAGAAAATAAGTAGGGTTTTCAATGATCATGATTATCTTTTTGGTCAATTTCTTATAAGCGACAAAAGGAAATAAAACCGGGATAACCAGAGACCTGATTTTGCTCGCTACCAGTTTGCCAAGTCGATGCAGAAGGCAGACGAGCAAATGATTCCCATCGGGCCCCCGGACGACATCCCTGTCAAATCATTTGAATCTGATTAAATGGAGTGCCGGGAGAGGAAGGTCAGAAGAGCCGGGGCTTCTCCCATCTCCACGGTTTTATAGAACCTTCCAGAATAAACCCGGTGCTGCCTGGCCCTGTTAATCTTTTCCATTTCTGAGAAGGAGAGGAAGAAATGGTCTGGGAGAACCCGGTGTTAATTAACTTGTGTCTCGGTGACACGAAATAATTCTTCTCCCCGCTACATTCCTAGGCAACATGTTAATTAACTGTGTTAGTGCAGGCGGTTCCAGCCACCCTTTAATATTTCTGTTATTGTTATTAACATGGGCAGGAGAAGGCTTAAGGCGTGACACCTCTTGACAGAGGAGAGAAATATTTTTATTCTTATTTTTGCTTCCGGTGGCCCTTTAGCCACGCACGTGTTGGTAAGGTATCTGTCCGTGCCTTAACAAGGGCATGCTGGAGTGACTCAAGGGGTCCTATGATGGAGTTCAGTTCTTCCCACTGGGATAACTTCTCCTGAGGTTTTCCAATGGCTGGCTCGCCAGTTACGGTCTTTTCCAGACATTTAGCCTCCATTACTCATGAGACACCACGCAGGGCCTAAAGCCTGCATTGTTGTGTTGTGTTGTGTTGATGTTGTGTTGTTGTGTTATTGTGTTGTGTTGTTGGGAGCCTAACCGTAGCTGTTAATGTGAGTGCTGGCCCACTCCCTTCTGCTTCCTTTTCACCAATTTGTGGGTGCAGGGCGCCCACCAACCCAGTGGTTTCACTTAACAGCCAGCACCTGCATCTGTTACAGCCGGAAGCAGGCCCTCTCCCCCCAGACGCCCAGGTCACCTGAACCAATGACCTGCACTGGGGGAGCACCAACACCCCGCACCCTTGCCTGGAGCCAGGGTGACCTGGAGACATAACTGTCACCTCAGAGTCCCCTTGCCAACCAGCCAGGGCTCCCCCAAACCCCCCACACCCAGGGACTCAGCCTGAGATGCAGTGGTGCTCGCCTTGCTTGCCTTCTGTCCAGTGTCCTTGCCCCCTATTCGGTTTCCCCAGAACCCACCCTCAGGACCCCCTCCCGTCGGGCTCTGCGTCTGGGATCTCCAGCCTGAGGCTCCCGTTAGATGCCAGGTCCTGGGGTATTTTTACTCTGAGCAGAATCTCCCCGAACCCGAGCTGGCCTGGCTGCAGAGGCCTTCGCTCCCAGTCCCCTCGCTGTCCGGCGTAAGACGCCGAAGCCGGGAGAGAGGAGTCCTCTGCTCCGGGGCGCCTGGCTCGTTAGAGGCGATGCTAACTAGCTCTGAGCTTGTCTCCGGAATGTCCCTCCTCTGGCCTTGTCTTCATCAGCTGCCTGATGTGTCTGGTCATTTACCCCCGACTTCCCTTTAATAAACGCTGTCCTTCCTTACGGGTCACACGCCCCAGGCGGCTGGCTTCATTTCGCGCACACCGTTCGGTGAGTCATTTATCCTCACTCAGGCCCAAGCTCCACGTACGGAGCAGCCAGGAAGCCAGAACTGCTTTTCCACTCTGTGACCTCCAAGGTGGCAGTCTCCTGCCGCTCCGCCATCTGCTGCGCCGGGATCCAATGTTCTCCCCCAGTAATGAGCTTGGTGCCGTGAAAAGGCTCAGAGCTCTTCCAACGGGAAGGGGGATCCGGAGGGAAAGGAGCTGGCCCTGGCTCTCGCAGGGAGCTCTCTGCCCTCAGACCAGGTCTGCCACATCCCGTTAATGTCGCCCACATGTTTCTTAATTTGCCCATTGCCCTTCCCTGCCCTACAAGCTCTCAGACTGTACCAATTGACTCCCTGCTATTCTGAAGTTAGTAAGAATTTCCGCTAAGAACAAGCACTTACCTAACACTGTCCTAAAGGTTCTATGTGAAAAGGACCTGCTAAAATGCCACGTTATCAGGCACGTGCGAACGTGACTTCCTGTTGCAAGACCGGTGCGGTTGGGAAGACCCGAGGTGCATTAAGACACAACCAGTGTTGGCTTAGCCCTTGACCGCTGGTGCTTTGACACACTCCCTTCGATCCTCTACAGCGGAGTGAGGTAGATGCTATGCTCACTGCCCTTTCACAGCTCACAGGAACCAGAGGTCTCCCCAGAGTCACAGGTGCTCAGGGGTACTCCTGGACCCCCTAGCCCTGGGTCTTCGGATTCCAATGCTTGGGGTATTCATTCCACTCTTCCAGGCTGCTTCCCAAACTTACAGAATCACCTATAAGTGCTCATTGACACACAGAATGCTGGGCCTCACCCCCACCAAAGAGTATCTCAACCAGGGGAGCCTGAGAACGTGCACTGCTGACGAGTTCCCAGGTGATGCAAATGCTGGTGGTGCCTGGACCACCCCTGGAGGACCACTGCACTTGGCTCCACGGTGTGCGTCTCCCACATGGTCACCGAGTCGGTCGTGCTTAAAATATTCAGCGACGGATCTAGTGAAATATTCATCGACTGCTCTATTGAGACTTAGGAGCGTCTTTATTTCAATGTCAGAAGAGACGTTTCTCTCAAGATTTATGGCAACAGGGCAGTGAGGACTTCGAATTAAGATCTTCCATTCAACGTAGAGAGATGCTATTAGTCCTCTCGATCTCTGAGGCTGATTCGCTGTACCACATGCTTTCTGTCCAGCCCCCTCTGTCTCCCAGAGGCTGGGGGCCCCGTGGGCAGTCATGTGGAGGTGGCCTTGGGAGCTTATGGAATTAGTAGCTGTTGACATGATAGAATCTGAGAGCCTCTGAAAGATGCCCATTTCTTTACATTCTTGGTCAGTTCTCTGTCAGCGGGTCCCCCAGGGGTTTTACTCCATCTTCTAAAAACCCCGGGATACATGCCTAACCTCTTAACTTAGATCACTTCCGGTGAATCTTTTCCACAGCGGAGGGCCCGGGCAGCCTAGAGGTGTGGGGTGGGGGTGGGGGAAGTTGGGGGGTCGCTACAGGCAGGGAGAGAGAGCTCAGAAGAGGGACCAGTTATGCCAAACACAAATGCCACAGGTTACGGTTTCATCCCAGAGTACCTTCTTCCTTGCAGGAAAGGCCATGTGAGTCGGCCATCTGTGTGAGCCCAGCTCCTCCTTGCTTCCTGACATCTTGGAAATTCAGCCTCCTCCTCCTCCAACCCTTTCCCCCAGTGTCTCTGCCAGTGTCCTCAGATTTTCTTTCTTTCCCTGCCCCTCCCCCGCAGGCTTTTTGGCCAAGACGGTCTCTGTGCCTCCTGTGACAAGCGGATCCGTGCCTACGAGATGACGATGCGGGTGAAGGACAAGGTGTACCACCTGGAGTGTTTCAAATGCGCCGCCTGCCAGAAGCACTTCTGCGTGGGCGACAGATACCTGCTCATCAACTCCGACATAGTGTGCGAACAGGACATCTACGAGTGGACTAAGATCAACGGCATGATCTAGGCATGCCGGGGGAGGGGGGGGCGTTCCGCTGACGTCACCGTCTCCAGGGGGGTCCTCACTCTGAGGCACTTTGGGGATTCCAGGGCGGGATGAGGCATTTCGTAGGGGGCGGTAGACCCTAATTGGGCACAAGACACAGCATCTAAGTGACATAATGCAAAAAAAAAAGATACCTAAATGCGACACAACGACCAGCCGTTAGGGAGAACGTATGGCTGGTAGCCACAGCCTAACCCATGATCACTGACATGATTCGTGAAGGAAAGGAGTGTTCGGGGAGGGGGCAGCACGTGGGCCATCATGGCGGAACTTTACACCTACAGGTAGGGAGTTGTGGGAAGACATGCTATGGCTTTGACCCTTGGCAACTAGAGGCGTGCAATTGGTTTCTTTACTTCCTGGCTTTCCTGTCAACCCTGTTCCAATCACTGTCCTCCTCTCATGAGAACGAAGCAGCATGGAGACACATTTCAGTTGAAAATGGGAACTGCAGCGCTCAGCCACCCAATTATTTAAAGCCACACTGACGCACCCCTGTGTTTAGATCCCTTAGTTTCGAGGTGAGGAGTTCCACAGATGGTTTCTATACAAATGTAAATCTAAAAAAAAAAAAAAAAAAAAAGGTGGTTCAACTATTTTGTTATGTTAGATTATATCCAAGTATGTGTTGTGTGTCGTTACAAAAACAACAACAGCACAGCAAAACACCAAACCTCTGCAAACAATAAAAACGACAGACTAAAATGTAGTGTTGTGTATTCGATAATGACTTAACAACTTGGGATAGCGGGGAAATGGCTTTTTATATTGTAAAGGAGAAGTAAATAAGCAGTTTACTTTTAGGTCAAATAAAAAGTTCCGTTTATTGCTCGGGTTTATACGAGGCAGGCACATTTCTATATTACCAGCAATTATATAACAGGTCATCATGTAGCTCAGAGGGATGGGGAGTAATTAAATTGTGATTGTGAGACGCACATCTCACTCCAGCATTGTGTGAAGGAAGCGGAAGATCCTTGCCTTTGGGAAACCTGTAACCTAGAAAGGACACAAATACATAAAACAGATTCCCTTCGGGAGAGAAGGTAATTACCTAGTTTGAAATGTGGCAAAGATGCTGAGCTTGACACTTCGATTTTCCCAGACGTGTGTCTCAGGGTGTTTTATGACAAGTGGTTAAGAGGACCTCACTCTGAGGATTTAAAGCAGGAACCTTCTTGGTGCGTTTTCTCCTCCTCTCCCCCTTTTCCCTCTCCTCTCTCTCCCCCCCCCCCCCTCCTCTTTCACACTCTTCTGGTCTCCGCGAACTGACTCTGAGCGCCACCTGCTGGTCATCGCCTCTCAAGACTGTCCCAATGAAAGACCAACCTAGATGGACATTCTTTTCAATTGTTCAATAAAAACTGGCAAGCAGTCGTAATATGTTTAGTTATTAAGACATCAGAAACACGCATCTATTTCTAAGTTAATTAACTATGATATTTCTTTAGAACTTGCATCACTAAGAGCTATTTGATTTCTTCTAGAGGAGAAATAATTAAGAGATGGCTCTCTGGGTCTATAAAAGTGCTTGGGAAATCTGGCTGCTTAAGATGGCCAATTTAAAACAAATACAATTATACTGCATTTCAACTCAGGTGGCAGTAGGGTGAATCTCCAAAGCGGCCCTAACCAGTGTGGCTCAGTTGGTTGAGCATGTCACTGGTTCAATCCCCCGTCAGGGCACATAGTGGGATTTGGGGCTCAAGCCCCAGTAAAGGGTGTGCAGGAGGCAGCAATCAATGTTTCTCCCTCTCCCTCTCTTTAAAATGAACAAAAACATTTAAAAAATAAATCAACAAAGGGGATGTGGTTCTCGAATTATCAGAATTCAATCCACTATTTTTAATTACATCAACATTAATTGTAATGACAATAACAATAGATGTTAGCTATGCAACTATTTTATAGGCAGTGTTAGGTGACAATAAAAATGTTTCTCACCTTGGAAATGCAAACTTCATTCTTCACCCCCATGGCGGTATAACGCACAGAAGACAAGAACTCTGCCAAGCCCTAGCTGGTCTGCCTCGGTGGATAGAGCATCGGTCTGCAGACTTGAGGTCCCAGGTTTGATTCTGGCCAAGGGCACATGCCAAGGTTGTGGGCCTGGTCCCCAGTAGGGGGCGTGCAAGACGCAGCAGATCAATGATTCTCTCTCATCATTGACATTTCTCTCTCTCCCACTCTCTTCCTCTCTGAAATCAATAAAAATATCTTTAGGAAAAAAACCCTCAGTCAATTCCTTTGCCATCTTCAATAAAGCAATGATGAACATTTTGCTTTTGTCATTGGCACCATCTTGCAGGATTGGGCGTCCTTGTGGTAAGTCATCCCATCCACATGGTTAGTATGGTGTCTCATGTGGTAAGTCTGGGCTCAAGTGCCTAACCCACAACTGACTTGAGAGGAAGGACATATAAAGAGATTCTAAGAGACTGAGAGAGAGAGAGAGAGAGAGAGAGAGGCTGACTTCCAGGGGACCAGAGTCTACCCTGGTGATTTTTGCCCGAGTGTGTAACCCAGGAGAACCAGGCGCCTGCCCCCTTCCCTGGCCCATGCCTGAAGTCAGCGGTTTGCAGAAACGTTTGCTCCCTCTCACCTCGGTAATCCTATGCCCAGAACCAGCTCCCTGTCATTGCTGTCTCTGCTATTACTACTGCTTCTCTGGGAATCTTGAAATCCCACAGTTGAGATAGAGCCATGGCTAGGAGCTTCCCCATCTGAAGACTTGGAATTGAATTGCAGCGACAGGACTGTTTTACTTGAGGAACATTTATATAACCCTTCCCGTGTGCCGTCACTCCCCTCGGTGCTTTACAAACATAGACTCCCTTAATCCGCCTAACAGTCCTAGGGGGCCGCTCCTATTTATTACCGCCCAGATTTTACTGTTGGGGAAACGGCAGCTCAGACAGGTTACATAACTTGCCGAAGGCCCTACAGCTAATAAATGACCGAGTCGGCTTTGACCGAGGGAGGGCCTCCCCTTGTGCTTGCTGCCTCTCTCTCCGTCGCACTCACCTGAACCTCAGGCTTACCATCTGCAGAATAAAAATTAACACCTTCGTCCCCAGGTTCTTGGAAAATATCTGAGCTTAGTCTAACCAGAAATGTAACAGAAGCACACTCATACAAGACTAACACCAGCCGAACCCAGTTTAGCTCAGTGGATAGAGCGTCAGCCTGCTGACTGAAAGGTCTCAGGTTTGATTCCCGTCAAGGGCATGTACCTTGGTTGCGGGCACATCTCCAGTAGGGGGTGTGCAAGAGGCAGCTGGTCGATGATTCTCTCTCATCAATGTTTCTAACTCTCTATCCCTCTCCCTTCCTCTCTGTAAAAAAAAAAAAAAATCAATAAAATATAAAATAAAATAAAATGTCAACATCGTAAAAGGCAAAGATGGGCTGTGTTCCAGATGAAAGAAAACTGAGGAGGCCTGAGCACTAAAGCCCAGCACCTGGCTCTGCGCTGGATCCAGGGCTGGGATGGGGGATGTTTCTCTGAAGGGCATTTTTGGGTTCCTTGATAAACTTGGAATGGGAATGGGTAGATCTGTTCACAGCATAGCTGGTCAATCCAGGGGAGCCGATACGAGCACTGTGACACCCTCTGGAAACACACTGAAATATTTAGGAGTAAAAAGTCATGAGGTGTATAACTTACTCTCAAACGAGAAAAAAATCATGTGTGTGTTGCGTGTGTTTGTGGGGAGAGAGAGAGTCAATGTTAAAGCAAATGCGGCCAAAACCGGTTTGGCTCAGTGGTAAAGCGTCGGTCTGCAGGACTGAAAGGTCCGGAGTTCAATTCTGGTCAAGGGCATGTACCTTGGTTGCGGGCACATGCCTAGTGGTGGGTGTGCAGGAGGCAGCTGGTCGATGTTTCTCTCTCATTGACGTTTCTAGCTCTCTACCTCTCTCCCTTCCTCTTTGTAAAAAATCAATAAAATATATTTTTAAAAGATACATATAATAAAGCAAATGCGGTAAACATATTAACAGGAGATTCTAGGTAAAGGACACATACGTGTGCTGGTTTTATTCTTGGGGTTTTCCTGTGAGTTTAAAACTACTTTCAAATAAAAAGTTTGTAAAAAATGGAGGAATTTGGATGGTTTTTCTCTTTTTTCATATGTTTTTTGTTGATTTCAGAGAGAGAGGAAAGAAGAGAGAGACATCAATGTCAGAGTGAAACATGGATCAGCTACCTCCTGCATTCCCCCTCCAGGTGATGGAGCCCACAACCCGGATAGGTGCCCCGATCAGAAACTGAACCCATGACTTCTCAGTTCATGGGACGATGCTCAACCTACTGAGCCATACTGGCCAGGGCTGGGCTTTTTCTTGTTTTGGGTTTTCATTTCAATTAGGAGAAGAAGAAGGAGGTAAAGAGAGAGAAAATATGCTTTCAAATTCAGTAATATATTACTATTCATTTCTCATAATTTCAGTGTACTTTGACCTTGGAAGTGAAGGTCATGTGTCTCAAGCAAGTAATCCGCCCTCCCCACCCCCACAGATACACATGCACTATAGTGTTTAGGATTCACTGCATGCCAATGTCTGAAGCAGGTTATTTCGCAACCTTACAAAATGAGCTTACTGCCAGTTCTGCATTTCCTTTGTAATTAGGATCGAGATGTAATCATCTGGCTCTGAAATGTGCGTATCCGAGGGCCAGGAATCGAAGCTATAATATTTTATGTCTTATACCTAGATCTAAGAGTTGAGTTAAAAGATGTTACAAAGCGCCAAAGCCATTTCCGTTCTCTCCCAGTGGCTGTGTATAAATTCTCCCAGAAAACCGTCATTTCTCTGAGTTAATAGAATCTTTGAAGCTAAATCAAGTCAATTTCCATTGTCGCATTGTGAAGCTTTTGAACTGAGCCCATGGAATTACCCTATTGGATGGCCACCTGGAGGATGGCTTTGAAGTGAGCCTGAGAAAGCCCACCCAGCAGCCTCTGTGGCCCCCAGCCTCCCCACCCCGCCCCATGCACCCTCATTACTTAATGAGCAGCTCAAGGCAAACGCCCCCTTACTTATGCAGTGGTACAACAGATATGAAGGCAATGCAATGCCATAGAAAGAACACTGAAATGGAAATCTGATTTGGCCACTAGTTAGGGGTGCCTAAGCTAAGGTGACCAGACGTCCAGCTTTTGGCAGGACAGTCCTGATTTTTAACAATTTGTCCTGCGTCCCGCTGCGTTTTAAAAAAGTTCCGATTTTTGGAAAGGATCAGGACTTTTTTAAAACGCACTCCTGTCTTTAAAAATAGTTTTGGAGCCAGGACCGGTTTTGGCTCAGTGGATAGAGCATCGGCTTTCGGACTGAAAGGTCCCGAGTTCGATTCCGGTCAAGGGCATGTACATTGGTTGTGGGCACATCCCCAGTGGGAGGACCGGGTGTAGGAGGCAGCTGATCGATGCTTTTCTCTCATTGATGTTTCTAGCTCTCTCTCCCTCTGTCTTCCTCTCTGTAAAAAGCAAATAAAAAATATTTTTAAAAAATAGTTTTGGATACAAGAAGTATAGTTCACCTTGTTAGGCCGGGGGTTGGGGGTGGGGGTGGGGGCACAAGGAGGGAGGGAATGAGTGAAAGAGGGAGTGAGGAGGGGACTAATGAAATACGATTTCAT